TAGGGAATGAAAATAATCTAAGCACCAGGTATTTAGGTTAATTTTCTTACAATTAGTATCTAATAACTTCACACGAGGACTGAATACACTATAGATAATCAACTCTCATAATTAGTGACCTGAAAAGACTTCTCTCCTTTTTGTCTCTGGCATTATAAGGTAAACCAATGGTACCCCTCGTCATATAAATCATTGTCAATTTTCATTTCTTAATCTCGAGTCTGCTTTCGTAAGTCCTTCTTTCTAATTATATATTAGTTTTTATTACACTGATATAAATTTTCGAAGATATTAATTTCGATCCAAGAATTACCATAGTAATAGCTAATTTCGAAAAACAGAATAGTTTAAATAATTGTATCGACAGTACGTACATATTCGATTGTTTTATTACGTGAGTCATAGGTACCCGAGTAAACAGGAAATTCTTCTGTATATAAAAATAGAATACATATAATTGAAAGAATCTTTCATATCCTGAATACATAACTGAAAGCGAATCTCATCTACTTCCTCATTCTATGGAATTTTTAATTCCATTCTTAATAATCCTGATTGAGTCATATCCAACAATTAGAGGTAAGAACAACCTTGGGAAGATATAAATTTGGGATTAAATTTAATTCATTAAGAAAAACAAGATATAATTGCAAGATTTTTACAATTTTTAACAGACATGTTTATGATAACGAGATGCATTGTGTAGAATAGAAATGAAAATAGTAGAAAATGATTAAATATATTCTTTTCTCAATAAAAATGTAGCCAATTTTGCTTAATTTTTTAAATAATGAAGCCTTGAAAGTGTAACTTTTGGCCTCCTATAAACTATTACATAATAATTCGTTTCCATGAGATGCTTAGACACTCTACGGGTATTTAAGGTGCAGCTAGTGTAAAGCGGGTTGCTCGATCATAGGCGCCTAACTTTTCCATCTTAAAATATTCGTTTTTCAAAAATGAAACAAAATAGGATACATGTTTATTGGACAAGATATGTTCCATTAGTCATCCTTTACGACTCCTTATAGTCAACGTGTAATTTTGAAACATTTCATATACCTCCATCCTATTCTACTCATCACGACTAATTATTTCAGTCACTCAAATCATCCGCAACATACTTAGTATCTCTTCTAACCTAACCTTCTTTCCATGCGTCCAATGAATAACACGGAATTAATCGTTACTGACTTATTCATGAATGAAAGTTTTATCTTTCATTCCACATCAAGTTGAAATTGTGCCCAATTCTAATACTATTACATTGTTCGGTAAACAATACTCGAAAGTGTCCGTGACTTGCATGCTACGCAAGTCCTAAAAATTTGTTTCCTCGTTAGAGGATCAATAGCAACATGTTTCTTTAACGAGAATTCACCGTAGACTAGCGGAACAGTCTAATTCCTTCTTTCCCTTTTTCCCTTCCTTCTTTTCCTTTCCCGCAATCGCGTTTAATCTTGCAATGATTTTCGCGACGTGATGACGCAACGTCAGAGGCTTTCTCACGACAGAAACGGGAGGAAAATGCTGGCTCATGACTCTAATTTCTCGCCTACGCAACGCGAGCTGCTTAATCGTCTCGCGCTTTCGAACGACGCATCTCTTCTACGCCTGGGAATCCATCTGATACCTTTTGATCTAACATTTGTCGGTTTTTTATTGTAATACTGCCCCTGTCATTAGAAGAAATTGGTAATTTCACGAATCCAGAATTAAGTCGACAGACAAAATTTTGGAATTTTATCTTATATATATGAAATATGATATATTAATAGTATCTTAAGTCGAAGTTATCTTATATATAGAATGTGATATATTAGTAATTCCTTAGGTCCAGTTTTCAAAATCGAATTTTAGGAAAAAGCATGGCAACTCGACGATGATGGTAATATGGTAATATACCGATCAGTATTATTTTAAATAAATTTCGAGATATTACTGTGTGTTTGATAATAAAATTCACGTTTGCTTCTCTTATTATGGCAATATCGCAGTTATTAGAAACAAGATGTAGGAGGTTAGAATTTATGATACTGATGGTTCTAAGTTGCAATAGAAAATTGGAAGTAAATAATTTGCTAGATTCTGTTTTAATAATTATCCTTAGATTACTATGATAATTATTAAAGTATTATGACTAAATATTGTTTGATCTTTGAAATAGTTCCTTTAGTGTCATTATTAAATATTCTTCCATCTCTGAAGTAACATTAGTAAGTAACGAATGCCACTAGTACCCTCGAAGAAGTGTTTAAAGTGTGACTAAGAAATATTACCATATCCCTGAATTCTAATCTAGGATCTCTAAATATTCTTTGACTTTTGAATTGCTGCCTAAGGTACTAGATATAATTACCCTTATACTTAGACCCTCAGTGTAGTCTCTAATGTATGTCTAACAGATATCACTAGATCTCTTAAGTAATCCCCTAGGTGTGGCTCATAAATAATCCTCGGTGTCTGAAGTAATTAACAAGACCTTAATTTCCAGTTATCCCTCGCCCTGGTGGTGAGCATAGGGATCGTGCAATGCGATCCACCGTTGAACACCCAATATGGCGTTCCAGGGAATTATGCTGGCAGTAATACCAACCATGGAACGCAAAATGGAAATAATTTTGGTAACCATCATTACGACAATGGAAACGACAATGATTACGTCGATCAGGTAGGTTCAAGTGATCTAAATTAAATCAATTTACAACGTTGTAACTGTACTAACATCATTTAATAACTCAGATCATTTATCTAACTTCGTGAAAATCGCAGGATGCAGGTTATGTGTAATTTATTTACTGCTTGCCATTTAAGATCTCTTCTTTTGTGCATCTAACGATCATGATTGCTTAAACTTAATTACCTCTTCTTGGACCGTTTGAGAGCTATGAACAATTCCCTGTTGCGATAGGAACTAAATTACGTTTTCTTCGACGATTGATGCTGTACTAGGGAAATTTATCTTGATGTTAGCAAAGCTGGAGCATTGTAAGAAATTACTAAACGATCTTACTTTACTTTAGTTCACTTTTTAATCTGCTTAATATAATATAATAGACGAGTTATGGTATAATAGGAGGGAAGAGAATATTTTTGATGGACTATTTGATATCGATTAATTGATGTTATAGGTTAGGAAAGGTACAAATTATTTTAAATAAATTAGGTTAACAAAGTATATTGCCTATTGGTACGTTTGTCCTGGATTTTTAGCATTGTGTTTTACACCAAAGCCGAGGGTTACAGAGGATGAATAGATCTGGGTTAATGCTGATTTTACAAGTAACATTGAACTTTGTCAAGCATGGCATACCAGATCCAGTTGCGTAAATCTAGAATGAATCAATCGAGTATCGACTTTCGTCTATCCTTTTAGTTAGATAATGTCTGTCTTTCTTTATCTTCGTTATATTTTGAAAATAAAAGCAATTGAAAATAGTTGAGATTATACTTAATATTAGCAGAGATGATTTATTAAAATAATTTATAAAACGTATTAAAGTTAACCAATTTTAATAAATTACTTCTGAGATTTATAAAAGAATTTATCAAAGCAACTTCGTAATTTATTAAAATTGCCTTCGAAATTTTTCCAAATCACTTTTACAATTCGTAGAAGTGATTTATTAAATGTACTCGTAAAATTTATAAAAATAATTTGTAAAACTTATCTTAAAAATTTCTGCAAATTATTTCCAAATTTTTAACGAATGACTTCAAAAATTTGTAGAAATAGTTTTTTAAAATCACTTTTGAAACTGCTTCTGAAATTTCCCGAGCCAGATATTGAACTCTAATGAAATTTGTATCTCCAGAGTATCACTTCTCTGTGGGAAAAAATCGAAGATCTCAAACACCTTAGTGATCGTTTAGCCTAAGTGGAGCAAGTGAAGATTTATCGTTTAAAATAGATCCCAGGCCACGAATTAACCACTCGTTTCGTGCTATTATTAAGCGAATTTATGTACTTCATAAGCACTCCAACTTTATTGCAACAGAGAACAATAACCACTCCTTAACCGCTGCAATACCGATGAAATTACATTAACACAATGTTGCAAGGCCAATAAAATAATTTAAAGAACTTCGTTTCCTTCGGAATATTCCGAACTCGTATTCTCGTATAAATTCATTTCACCATGCAAAATTCTTCGTTTGATGATTTACAAGAGTATATCTGATGGTGACTATGGTTTACCATAAACGTCTTCAACGTTATAACGTGAGATTAATGGTTCAGCATAGGGGGAGGGGGAAGAGATGATGTATGGTCAGGATAGAGGGACAGACTATGTATTCTAGTCAACTATAAGATGAAGAACACGTGGCTGTTGGAATCGTTGCCTTACGCACTCTATAGATAAACGAGTTTGAAATCAGAAATACCGGTTGGCATAACTTTCTGCAGGCAATACACGCGGCATAATACTTTTACTCATTAACTCGAATACTTCGTGTACCGCGGCAAAGTATAATTTTGTCATTTATATCGACATTTCTTTATTTAAGGAATTCCTGAAAATTTTAATTTAAAAAATTTCGATTTGTTATTTCTAACTTAATACTAATTATACGTATTATATCTATACTTATTTTATTTATTACTAAGTTACTAAGTATTATATCTATCGTCACTTTTCGACTTGCACTTAGACTTACTGATAACCTGTTTATTTCGTGAGAAAATGGAGAAAATATTTTAAACAAAATTTGTTTTCACGTTTAATATGTGATTTGATTTTATTAATTAATTGTTACAATTCTTTGTTATTTCGCTTTTTATTAAAATACGAAAGCCATGTTGAATTTTTCAATCTTAATGTGTAATCGTAGATTTGTCCGTAATTAATAACTGATTTTCATTACCGATTTTTGAGCACACGTATGTTCATAGCTTTTTTACTCAGCATTAATTAATCATTACAAAAAAATTAATTATGTAATTATTAATTATTACATTTTACATCCACCTTAATACCAAATAATTTTTGTTTGCAATATTTTTTTCATAACAAATGTAAAAGTGCAAGTAATTTCAGGTGTCATAGTTAAGGCACACCCTGTATATATCTTAATTTATTTTCATCCTATCTATGCATATTGTATTTATGTCACGTATATATTATCATGTATTCTATACTTATGTATACCGTACATAGTATACTTCGAAGTCGATGATTCTAGTGTTAAATCTATTTATTTTCATCCTATTTATGTATATTACATTTATGTTATGGGTATATTATCATATATTCTATATTTACGTATACTGTACACGGTATACCTCGAACTCGATGATTCTAGTGTTAGAAAAGTATTTCACAAACGTACATCGAACAAGGTATCCTTCACGTGAAATTTTTCACAGAGAAGAAACCGGAAGTGCTGCCCGTGACACAGTTCCGTGCTCCGGAAACCGCGTGTGGGCACCGGAATCTCAGTTCAGATATAAAATATTACACATTCATCCTACACGGTGATGTAAACGCGGTCTGATGTAACAATATTAATAGAGTGAATCGCGACCGCAGGCATCATCCGCAGCAAATCGTTATTGCCGATTAGCTAATCGTCTTGAGAATCTAAACGGTCCGGTTATGTGCATTTGTGCGGTTCTAGCCTGAGGGCCGATCTGGCCTGGCGCGAGACAGATTAAATCGTGAGTTTTCTTCCTTTTCTTATTCTTCTTTAGCCATCGTCGTACAGTCTGCTCTACTTCTACCAGGAAGAAAGTTGAGCCTAGTAATTTCAGCATTTATACAATTTTCTGTCTTTTATAAGTCCAGAATAGAAATAACTCGATGGTTGGCAATTGAAAGATCACGAATTCATTCTGGTTTATTGAATAATTATTTAATGCATATATAATGACCAATTATTGGATAATTATTTACTCACAGATAATAGAAATGAATAATTATTTGATAAATATTTAATATTCAATAATTAATCGCTATTTAATAATTATTAATAATTATATGATAATTTAGTGAGAAATTTAATAAATTGAAATTTTTTGAATAATGTGAATAACAAAATGGCGGATGAACTGTGAGAAGTATTAGAAAAATAGTATTAAGATTATAATAATGGCAGAATAAATATTTGAATAATAATAATATTCCAAAATAGCGTTGAAACGATAATCTGATCGACTGGATTGATTCTGAAATTATGTACTATATTATATATAATATATAGTACATTATATAATTATATACTAAAATGACAAAAGAAATCTAGAAGGGTATTAGAAATTGACAAATCATAGTAAGCTGCCGAACGAGTTAAAGTATAACACTTTCTAATGTCCTTCTCACATGGTACACTCAATTAAGGGAGTTTGTTCTTCCGCAAATTAGGTGGTAGTAATGGTAAATGTTATTGAAGACACTGTACTCGCGAGTAAAATACTTATTTCCCATAAATTTTCACTGAAATTATTTTCAGATAATTTTTTGACATTCTTTTGCAAATATAGAAAAGATTCTGTGCAAATAGGGAATCATGTTTCTTTGTGTTATTTACCAAGCAATACAGTAAACCGTACAAACGGTTTTAATGGCATCTCCGTGTCATCAAGCTGCACAATAGCCCACTAATGAAATCATCGAACTGGGTTAAGAAAACATTCAAAGCGACGATCTGAGAAGTCACTTTGATAGAAAGTCCAACAACAGGATCCCCGATCAGCACCTAATATGCAAATGATGCTCATGCGTGCGCGTGGTACAATGAAAATTATAGAGTACATCCCGGCTATTGTTTATCCATTGTTGTAATCGCTAAGTTAGACATTAATTAAAAGTAGTTCTGGAAATAAATTGCTAAACACAATTGTATTCCTTTGTTTAAACAAAGAGAAAGGTGTTTCTATTATAGTAAGTATATAAAAAGTGTTATAAATTATAAATAATATATAAATTACCTATAAGAGATACAAAGTTTAGAATATTACAACTCGTTTTAGTTAAATAAAATCCTTATCAATTTTTATCATCTACTCGATCGACCAGCACTCTATATAGAATACACTTTACATAGTATTATTATTACCACGAATATTACGTAAAATACTACATAGAAAAATATAAACTCTGTTTCAGCCGATGTCCTATGAATTCGGGTATGCTGTGAAGGACCAAGCAACCGGAAATGACTTTGGCAGGCGCGAGAGCAGCGACGGCGAGACCGTAAGGGGAGAGTACAGGGTCCAGTTACCAGATGGCAGGACGCAGATAGTAACCTACACAGCTGACTGGAGGACAGGATTCCACGCAGATGTTAGATACGAGGGTACACCGACTTATCCTGATCAGTACAACACTCAGAACAATGGATACAATAATAACAACCAGGGTGCTGGCCAAGGCTTTGGTTTTCATGGTAATAATAATGCTGGAGGATACAATACAGGCAATTCAGGTAGTTTATGACTCCAAGTATACTCCTATTAATAATTATAGCTTCATTTATCTGGTCTATTCAATATTTCAAAATGTTACACACTTTATTTGCTTATTTGAAAATACAACATTATTCCTTAGAGGTAGTACATCTGAGTTCAAGAACTTTAGTCTTTGGCTAATTTAATAGAGTCGATTTCTGGCTTATAAAAGTAAATGATAGACATGGGACAGGTGTTCGATTATGATCCGCTTTTATGAGAAGCTGGTGATCGGAGGACTAATTAGGTGTAATTATTTGTTTGACGAAGGAAATAACGGAGGGTACAACTACCAGCCACCCAGTGGTAGCAATTATCCATACCAGTTCAGTTCCAACGCATTGGATAACAGTTATAATAACTTCGGGGCTCGCAATAACTATAATACGCGGATTCCATCGACGACATATGGATCAGCCTTTAAGTGACTTTAGTACAATTCCTGTTATTAGCGTGGGATAAGATGCGACCTGTAAGATTAGTTCTTTTATAATAAAAATTATTTTTCCTTTTTATAGTGTTCCAATATCATCCTTCATTGTTCCTCTAACAAAGAAAAAAGAGTCCTACAAAATATTGAAATATAAAAATAATTAACAAGAAATATGTAGTAAGTACCAGAATATAGTGAATGATTTTACTGGTTAGATGAATAATTTTATCTCAGCCAACTGTGTAATTACGAATTTTCCCATAGGCGAAGTTGTTCGTTAATAGAGTCCGTGTTATGTTGATTCGCTGAGCAGGAAACGTGAAAACGGGGCGAAAAATGTTTCATTCGAAAAGAAATATAATTAAAAAATAGGTGCTGGTATGAGAAGTAGGTGTAATGGATGAGATCGTGTTTCGATGGATTTTATATTATGTCACTAGGAAGCATGGGTTGGCACGTGTTCGAGAGGACGCTTTCTCTGATATTGTAACATCCTAATTGCGTCCTACATGAGAGACTCCACTAAGTGTCAAAACAGTTGAGTGTAATGGAATGATTGGCAACCAGCTATCCTTTCTGATTGTATCGAATTAAGTCTTCAAAAAATGGGGTATACTTCTTTACGAAGAAATCTGTACCATTTTCCAGAGCAACATATTTTACTTTTAATTATCGAATGCAGGCAGATAAATTATTAGACATAGGCGTAGTAGCGATCTCTGTGTCGTCTTCTGAATCCATTTTAATGGCAGTCGATTAATCATTGGAAGCTGTGAGAAATCAGTTTGTTACATATGAAACGTTGATACGTGATAAATGAGAGCATAGTGCCAGCTTCCTTTTTAAGGACAGCTACCTATCCTTGTCATTAATGAATTTAGGTTAATGTACAAGGTGTCTTCATAAACTAGTGTCTTCGTAGATTAGTGTAAAAATTTTTTATTTTCTTTAATCTAGGATCACAAAAGTATTAAAGTATACTGTCATAATAAAATTCGTCTATTATTAATTTTATAATCTATTTTTCATAATAGAAATGTATATATATGATATTTCACTATGGCGGTGTTCTGTTCTGTTGAGGTTAATATTCCTCGAACATTGTCCTAACCTAGAATTACAAAGATATGTTTCTTCAGTATAATTCAACTGCTATTAATATTCTAATCTATTCGAGTCAGACCATATGTATCTTAAGAATAAAATTAATGTCAATTAGGATTCAAAATACTACGAATAACATGAAATCGTATAAAAATAAAATAATGGAAATATTAAAATAAAAATTGACATTGAGCTGCAACGAAAATGCATTATCCATCCATAGATGGATCAATGAAAGCTTTCTAACCCATTTATTTCAATTAATTAGGTAGCTCTGAATTTTCGAGTCATTAGAGAACTCTGAATCGTCGAGTTCAAGATCTGGACTGATCTTTTCCATCAAAGACACCGAACAAAACTGCGATAGGTGCAGGAAGGACGAACACGATCAGTTTTGTCCTTCCACCAGCGACAGGGGATGTGTGACTAAAAGCAAAGGTGAAGGTGAGCGGAGCGGAGAACAAAAAGACTCTTTGATCGTGGCGTACACTATAATGAACCTATGAAAACAACGTGACGTAATTGGATGGGATGCGTCTGGCTCGTGGTCTAGGATTAGCCGACGTAAAAGATGAGTTGCCGGTTTAATCGATGGTACAACAGTTTTGAAAGTACTTTCTGCGATCCCCGACGCTCCATTTAAAGCTAATTTTCTTGGCTTCGTTTAAGATTGACAGAGAATGGTCAGCGCGGTGAGACGTAGTCTAAGATGAGCAGCAAAGATGGAGGATTGATGATCAGCTGAGGTCTACTGCTGACCCAGGGGAATACAATGAACAGCTGATTTTGATCAAAAGTAAAAGTTCTGATTAGTTTTTGATGCGTTTTTCTCGCTTCTATAGCAACACCTTAATTTCGAGACAGATAGCAGGCGTTAATGATTCAATTCTATAATTCTTCCTACTCTTTAAACGAATCTTTGAACAATAAATTAAGAGAAAGGCAATAGCTATGTGAGAAAAAGTATCCATGGCTTTCGGCTTACTGTTTCTGTTACTTCTTTCACGAGTCTTCCTAGTACGCGATAATGATACAGTCATTACACGAATGGAGTGATTGTTTCTAGTTTTAACACGAATCTATAACCAAGAACTTGATAATTCAATTTCTGCGAAAAAAGGAAAAGATGGATATTAACGACCTAAATTTATGGTTCGTACTTTTCAAATGAAACTTTCCCCTATAATTTGCTAAAAGAGTAATTACTACGCGTTAAGAGGTATTTACCTGTGCTAAAAAGCGTCTTCCGACTTTCCCAGGCAATATTTCTCCGATATAATAAATTCGATTCATATTTCACCGATAAATAAATTAATAAAATTCTATTACAGGAGCAAGAAATGTTTGAAAATGTGGTGAGACAGGAGCAGAAGGAGGCTCAGCAACAATCGATGGTACCCGGATACATCCTATTCATACATGGCTAGCTGCGAGGGTGAGCACGGATGGTATAAAGTTGCGAAAAAGGTTTCGTAGAACGATGGCGTAATCGGTAATGCGTTCGACTGAAGAGTACGTATGTACATCTCGCCGGTGGTTCGACATGAAAGATGTTAGCTGTTGCAAAGGAACGCGGATAATGACGGGAATATGCTTCTAATGCTCTGGATTCGTGGTGAAAAAGACCCAGTCGATACGAGAATGAAGCCTCGAAAACATCCATCACTTCTGTACATCTCAGATTCTTCACTGTCTCCAATTTTTTTCCTTCGCATATTTCTGTTCCGTTTTGTCCCTTCACAATAGGATATTTCAGAATTTTTCCAATCGCTGGAAACTTTGAGAACGTTGAAATATCTCGAAACAAAATAGATATTTATTTAATAAGAATATTTTTAATTAGAAATATATAACATGTATAGCTTGGTATATCATTTATATACATATATAGAACATTTATGTAACTATATTTCTTTGGAGTTTCTAAATATTGTATTATAAATCCATTTCCAGATCTACCAACTTTACCTTCAACCAGTGAACATACTCAGACTACCTACCCTCGCGAGAAATTCGCCAGTTGCATCAGTGGTTCGCCGCTAGAGGGCAGAGCTGTCGATTACAGAGTCGCCTCCAGCGAAGTTAAATACCGACGTAGAGAGAGAAGTAGAATGCACACGAGGATGCATATGCAGGCTTCCGCATCGCAACGATTACGTAATTGCCGTTTATCCCCGATTATGGAGTAGATGGTGCATCAAAACGTTCACTCCGCGATTCCGTGGCAAGAAAGAGGCGAAAATAGAACCTCTGCCTAGGGGCTTACAGGGCACGAGCTTTTGCGCGGACTAGACTTTACTCCGAACCAGATCCTTGTTGTCAGTTACAATTAGCGATAATTATGTTTGAATTAATTAAACGTCCCGCAACAGACCGGTATCTATTGGCCATGTACGTGAAATAACGCAACGCTATACCGAGGTTACAAAATCAGATTAAGAAACGAATTAGCAGCCGTAAATTCGTCGAAGGCAAATTATCATGATAAATCGTTGTGCGTCTTGGGCACGTGTATACCACGTCCTTTTGCGAAATTACTAATCTTATGGGTAATTTAATGTCACCTCTTTTGTCCCTCTAATGGAAATTAAAATTACTTTTTAAATTGCATTTCGAAAATTTTTAGGTTAGGTTTAGGTTACGTATGGCAATATTGAATATGATTATTCGATATGTTTGGAAGTTAGGTTATAATCGGAGACACTGGGTGCGTCATTCGATTAATAAAGAATTATTCGCTCTTTTTGGAAGTTATATTGTTATTCGTTTTGGATATGTCTGTGTTCAAAACTTTTTATTTAAAATTTTATAAAACTCGATATCTTTTCTCGCATTAACCTTGTACTTTTTAGTATAGTCGAATAAAGTGAATATTTTCTATTATATTCTGATTCTTTAAATACTTATTTTAGACAAATTAACTTTTGAATATTTTTTTCAAAAACTTTGGTCAATATGATCAAAGTTATTTCGATTAATGTATCCGAGTAAATTTTTTCGTATATCCAAACAGAGTATGATTATTTACAGCCATCACGCGTATTGCATTTCGTATTGAACTTGAAATTCTTAATCCCCAAAGGATTATAGGTAATCCTGAAAAGCCTGACTTGTGATGAAGATGTAATATTTGTAATTAAAAAAGTCGCGTTTCAAATGGTATTTCACAGGAGTGACTGGTGAAAAGGAAGAATTAAGGACAGATTTATAAGGGGTTGTAGGAAAAGTGATTCCCGAGTGCCCGAGCATGTTGTAAGAATCGCCTACGTTTGGCGATTGAAGTAACTGCCGGTAACCTGAGCGAGTAATATGCTTTACGAAACAAATATAATAGTAGAGTTGGATGACGGTCGTGTCATTCGACTGGTACGATTATTTACCATGCTATTTGCCCTCATTATTGCGATTTAACTGTTACACGTGGTTTCACATACGCCTTCCATTTTTCGAGTATCATTTCGCAATAATTTATTACTTGATAAGTTTGATAAATTTTGTCAGAAATATGCAGCTTAAAAAATTAATTTCACAAAATGTGTTCAAAAGATATACGAACCAAAAAATTATAAAGATTTTCTCAACTTTTATAGATAAAATAGCTGTTTATTTAGTGAACAAAATTTGTTAAATAATTTTAATTCCTTATACACACAATGTTCTTTTATTATTTTCAAAAAAGCGTGTTAAAAATCGGAAAATGTATTTAACGAGAAAAGAAATGTCGAAGGAGGGGCTCAATAGTCGCCATGTTGTGGAAGTGAACGCGTCAACTGGGAGCGGGTTTAGTGCTCAGATTGTAGCCAGCGCTCGAAATTGTTTGGAAATAATTTCACACGACGAGGCCAGCAGACACCAGTCAAGTTTCTGAATAGAAACAGCTCCATATAGTTCCCCATCGGGTCTCTTAATCAAACTCGACACCAGAAAAAATCCGATCTGGTCATTTTCGTAATCAGACTGATGATGGCCTGTGTCAGTTAATAAACTTCTTATTAAAATGAGGAGACACGCAACTATTTGTTCGAAAATAGAACACTGTAAACTATGTGTAGTTGTGATTATATCTGAGGTTAGAATAATGGCACACGCCTCAGGGGTGCCTACAGTTTGCACGCACGGCTAGGGAATTATTCAGATGGATTAGAGACAACGTTAACCACAAATTATAAAATTTTATGCAAAGTAGCGTGTGTTTCCTGTGATTGAGATGTTTCATTCGTTATACGACTTTTGTGACACCGTGTAATGTTGATTTACATTTTAGACTAGTAAGATTGATTTCCAGACGCCGTAATTCCAATGTTACTAAAATAGTTATCTCTTCCACCGCGTAGCTTGATGGCGTATTTCCCTAGCGAAGACTTCCATATCTACGAAATGCATATTCTTCTTAGACGAATCCTGCTTCCAGTCACAATTTCACCGATACCCAAAGAGACCACCTTTGAGACCACCAGACTACGTACTTCTCCGGATAGCTTTTTTAAATACCTTTTCGTAAATTGTTCAGCCGAAATTACCGCATTTGAATTGGAAATTCTGTGCCAGATCATACTCCACTCGTCGACCTAAAGTTCACAAGGAGATCGATCACAGATATTATCAAGGATCACGAGTTTCCTACTTCGTACTGTTGCATTTATGGCCGCTCGGAATTACAGGATCATATCTCTATATAATCTGTGTCGGATTGAAAAGGACAAACTATTGATGCACAATTGAATCGATGCACGACGTGTCTAACAGTCGGTATCTTTAATTGAGTTATCAAAGCATGAAAGTGGGAAACGAACGACACCAGAAGAAAAGGTGCAATTAAGGAAATATTCAACCACCATCGTGAAACGATGCTTAAAAACCCTCATGGATAGCTCTCATAATCTTTCCAATAAAAAATTCTTCATTTCACCGATAATGACATAACCTCGCAGCATTCATTAGTCGTCGTGAACACGCAATTACACGTACTATTCAGGGGCAAATCCGATTAGCTGCACGCTGACAATTTTCTGGGTGAACATCTTTATGGTAGCTTCGTTGGAAACGATTTTTTAGTCGATTACATAAACGTTCGGGCCCATTGAGTCTCTCTGCTAATTTCAGTTTATTGAAATCCTTGGACAATGTAGAAAAACAAATTGGATAATTGGTCTGCCGAAGAAACCTAGGGGTATATTGTACTGCTCGATACTCAGATTAATTTTTAATAGCAGGCTACGCGTTTCCGTGTTTCCAAGATGACTTCATCTCCGATGAAGGCTGGCGTATGGCAAAATTGCAAAATCTTACGAGACTGGCCTGTGGCTGAATTAGCTAGTAGTGATGTTCTTCTATTGTCAAATATCGAAACAGGTTCGCATTTCATTTAAGTGAAAGTACATGGGAGCTCGTTAATTGCTCGACACTTTGATAATCTATCAAGATTTTGATAATTTATCTGGCTGATACCATGGGTCATCATCAGATCAGAAAAAAAGGGAAACTTTTGGTGTGATATATTTGAAGTTAATCGCTAGGTTCCGATTTAATTTCTGACTTTTATGGGAAAGATCTTCTATTATTAAGTTAATAATTGGTGTGCTGTTTTTTTTACGGCGTGTGTTTTAATGCGTTATGAAAACACGAAAGCAGACGAGTTTTCTTACTGATCCTTTATTTTCTGCCTTTTACCCGTTCAATCATCACGCAGCAGGTCTATTTCTTCATCCACCTTTCATTCGTATTACAAGTTAGCAATTGGTTCAACACATTTGAGCACTCGGACTTGGCAGATTGAAATCTTTTTTGTACTCTTTTTCAACAGCAGATGAGACGTCTAGATATCGTAATATTGATAAAGGGATTTACAACGGGTTGTGCAATGAGAGTACAACAATTATGTGAATCCTTGAGCCACGAATCGTCGGGCATATACACTTCAAAGAATTTGCGAAATCTTTTTGAAAACTGGTATTATCTTTGGTAACCATAAGATTTTACATATTTCTTAACTGATTGAAATTTTATTTCGCCAAATAGCATGATAAACGTTAAAGAATATTCCACATGAAAAAATAAATATGAAACGTTGCAGAAGACAAAAGTATTAGTCAAATTTGAAAAATTTCAATGTACCTTAGGATAAAAAGTACCTTATCCAATATTGTAAAAATGAAAAAATATTCCATATAAAAGAGGAATAAATTTTAAATATTCCAGAAGAGAAAATTATAATTAAAGAACACCGTATGTACGAAAACCAAAAATATTCCACATGCAAGAATAATAAATATGAAACGTTGCAGCAGACAAAATTATTAGTCAAATTTGAAAAACTTCACCGTACTTTTAAATAAAAAGTACCCTATCCAACAATATTGTAAAAAAGGAAAAATATTTCATATAAAGAGCAATATTAAAGAGCAACAAATTTTGAACATTCCAGAAGAGACAATTATAATTAAGGAATACCGTATGTACGAAAATCAAAAATATTCCACATACAAAAATAATAAATATGAAATATTGCGAAAGACAAAATTATTAGTCTAATTTAGAAAAATATTCCATATAAAAGAGCAACAAATTTTGAATGTTCCAAAAGAAAATTATAATTAAAGAATACCGTATGTACGAAAACAAAAAATATTTCCGTATTAATTGATTTTTTAAAGCAAGTCGAAAGACACGAGGATACAGTGTTTTAACGACGCAAAGTGAAAACGAAACAAATTGTCCAGAAGAAAATTGCAAAATCGCAGGAGGATCTCGGGGGTTCCCGAGGAGTCGAAAAGAAGGTCGTCCAGAAGTCTCCCACTTACTGGAACCCAAGGCTCTTTCCTCCTCTTTAGACAGCCGAATGATCCAGGCGATCAAGGAGTCACGTGCGTGGATCCAATTAAAATTTAAAGTTGTTTCAGTCATCATCAACGGGATATCTCTTCCCATGATGCATCACCGAGAGTGAAGGGAAGATGCGCTGCTCCTCTCCACCTCCCACACCCATAGCCGGTCATTCTAATACATGCTGGTTAATACGTGGATATGCAGCGCTAAGGATAAACTGTAACAAAGGGTCCGGACGGTATATAAACTCGTCCGTGGATCATCTTCTCAGTTCGCTTCGCGTCTTCGCTCATAACAGCAATATGAATTACCATCAGGTAGGCTATCCTCCCGGTTATGCTTATTAGTTACCTCGGTATAGATACCGACTAAATTCGTAAGTATATTTCGTTAGAGATCAGGTTGTTACACCTGATCTCAATTTTTCTCGAGGAAACATCCAGTCGTTGGTTGTTCAGCGTGAGCTTGTTCCTTTTCTCGTAGAGTTTTGTGTTCTCATTAGGTTGCATGAGCCTTTAGAATACCTCAACTTTGATATAGAAGTCGTAGTTCTCCTCAATCGAAAGTGAATACGAGTCAAGTTTGATAATGGTAGTGTCTATGGTGTGCAGCAGGTTCTCAGTAGGTTTTTCATTTCTCAGCTGTCAGATGTGACTTCTTTCCTAGACCCCTAAACTTCTTTCATAGGACTCCTAGGGAATTTTAGTTTCACTGAGAAAATCTTCTATCTTCTGTGATTTAAGATGGAATTTACGAATCTTCTTCCAACTACGATTAATATGGACTTGTGATGCTCTCAGTATTCAAATTGCCAAGACGTAGGATCCTAAAATAATTTCGATCGAACTATAGTAACCTGGCTACTCTTCTTCAAATTAGGGCTACTTGAAATATGCGGAATTATATTTTCATTTTTATTTGCATTCTGCTAGGTTTATTTGTATTTACATAATGGAAGTTAGAAGAAATACTGAAATACCTTCACTTTACTTCATCAGGCATGTAAATCAGTAAGTGCACAAAAGGAGAAAGCATGTTCGTCTTTAGTAATCATCCCTAATTTCAGTGGAACATTAATTTTACCATTGGCAAATCATTGGCATACGTCGCCATTGGTAAAGCAAATTTTCCATTGGATTCGGCGTTAACGTCTTCTACAACTCGTTTTGTTGATGTAATTATGATGACCAGTGACGAAAACAGGCATTCGGTTCACCATTCGTGTCGTAATTAATTTTATTCCGACAGAGAGACAGTTTCTATCTGAACAATTGTGTTGTAGGATATTATCATCTTCTAATAGAGATGATAAATATTTCCAAATACGTCTTCACTGAGAACAGTTCGAGTCGACAAATGCATTTTGTAATTACTTAATCATAAATTGGACAAATAGATCAGTCTGATTCCATGAGCAATTCAATTTTGGCGTTTTGCTGTTTCTGATATTAGGTTTGTGATAAGTATTGGTTACATAACCTTCGAGTCAAGAGTGTGGTTCACTGGATGTTACTGCAAAGAGGTTAGAAAATTTAGCAGGTTATGTTTCTCTTTCTGCGTCCTCTAATATTCAGAGCAAGTGATTTTATAAGTAACCTAAAAAGGAACATGTCAAATTTGTGCTTATGCATACAGTATGACAGTAGATTCTAATATTCGCAATATAAATTATTTCCTGAACAACTTAACCTCAAACTTGGAACATTAATTATAAGAATTTGTTTCCCTAGGAAGATTCAAAGTAATGTTAGTTAAGATTATTTCAAATTTAACGAGTGCCATAAGGAACCTAACTCAGTTGCAAATGCAACTTCTTCCAGTCTGTGTAACCGTCACAGACTAGTCAATTTGCATAATTTTTCGCTTTCTGTATTTTATGTATTAAATTTCTTTTCGTAGATTTTTACCGATGCGCGTTAATATATTTCCTTCCATATTTTGTTGCAGTTAACGAAAGTGCTATTGCTGCTATCGTGTCTTGCTAGTGATGCACTCGCTGGATTGCTTCCGGGTGGTGGCGCCGGTGGTTACCAGTACAACAGACCAGGTGGCGCTGGATTCGGTGGTCCAGGGGGATTCTCCGGGGACTTAGGAGGAGGAGAAGGAGGAGGAGGAGGAGGAGGAGGAGGTGGAGGAGGAGGACGAGGAGGAGGCTTTAGAGGGAGACCTTCTTCGTTATACGGAGCACCAGGTGGCGGTGGTGACGCTGGTGGATTTGGTGGCCGTCCATCTACCTCTTATGGAGCTCCTGGACAATTCGGAGGCGGAGGTGGAGGCTATCAGGACGGAGGATTCCAAGGTGGTTACGGTCGTGACAATGGAAGAGTAAGTTTAATGAATTCGTTCTAATTAAAATATATAATAACAAAACAAAAATTTTGGAAACTAGCAATTGGAAAAAATATTTTATTTATACCTTATCTTATAGCCCCAACCATACAGCTTCCAGTACGAGGTATACGATCCCCCTAGTGGCAATGACTACTCCCAACGTGAAAGTAGCGATGGCAACGTGGTTCAAGGGGAATACAGAGTACTGTTACCAGATTCGAGAACACAAATTGTGAAGTATATGGCTGATGATGCAAATGGATATACTGCTGATGTTCAATACGAAGGGCAAGCTCAATACTCTCGAGGAGGTGCTGGAGCTTATGGAGCACCTAGTGCAGGATACCAAGGTGGGTACCAAGGAAGCTAATATAATTATAATTTGCATGTATATATATACATAAATAGGAGATTATTTAAAGCATAAACTACTACGAATTTTCTAAACACTAATGCTTCTATATTATAAAGTATTATCTATGGACTTAATTTGAAGAAAAATATATTTAATCGCGTATTACTATTCCACCACTGTTGTATTTTTAAGCCACATATGAAGCGTTTGAAGATGTAAATTTTTTGATTACCTTAACAGCTTGTTATCGAAGAATGTCTTCTTCGCATACTTCCAATTTCCTCCGATAGATGTCGGGGCTGTATTATTCCACTATACGTTTCGTATTATATTTTATATAGGTACTTTTATCAATGGTAAATTAACCTTTTGATAGCAGGTGCCGGTGGTTTTGGACCTGGCGGTCAATTCGGCGGAGGTGCGGGTAGTAATCAGTATTTACCACCACGTAACAGCTATCGGAAATAATCGGCCTTATCATGCATCGCCATTAAAAATTCCGACAAATCTTCCGAATGCTGGGCGACAACCGTCACGGACCTCCCTCGTTTTTACAGCTTTTACTTCTTAATACCACTCAATATACTTACACCACTCAGTCACATGCACATTTACGTATAATCACCCCACTGGTATTTAACGACATATAACATGTATCGATTAGGATAATTTAATGATTTTCTTTCTTTCAGCGTGCGTTTCGTATACGTGCGTAGTTATACTATGTATACGTTTATACTTTGTACATGGTAATTTTTTATTATCAAACATGCGCTTGTATTTTCTGCTAAGCGATCGTCGAACTTAAATATTTGTGTATGTATTTATACGAGCTTAATATAATACACGAATGAAATACTCTTTCTATTTAATCCATGTTTCTTTCTTTGTTTCATAACCTAGAAAAGCATTATCGGTAAAGTTGATCGATATAGAATAATTATACTGTAATATTTTTGTTACCATTCGAATTTTACAAAATAAAAGTTTAATATCTAAGAAAAATTTGTAAAACCTATAGATTCTTTCTTCTTCGTAAAATTTATTTAAAAAATTTAAAATATGATTACGAATTGGAGGTCGACAAAGTTTTATCTCTTTTCGAAAGCAGACGGTTGTAAATTTTCTTTCACACATCACATCTTCTTCTTTCTCTTTTATGAATATTGAAATGAATGAAAATAAGGAACTCTAGTTATAAAATGCACTGTTCAACGCAAATTTTAATTTGTAACATTCATTGGGTGACTCTTGTAGAGTTTACTGTTCCGAAAATAAATCCATAATTCAAAAAAAATGTGAGTTTTTCTTAAAAAGGCACGATTTTTGGATAAAATAAAGTATTATATAAAAAGTAAGAATGTTAGAAGGTTCATTCTTATATTACAAGAGTATCCTGAGTTTATCAATGACCATAATCGTAATTATTTGTGCTTTTAAATAACTATAATTGGCCATCGATGATTAAAAATAAGCCTCTGAGGGTACTTTCTATGTATATTTTTGCATTTTTATAAAACGTTCATTATCTTCTTATCTCAAACATTCTTAAAAATGCAGAGGAAATAAAAATATTTTGATATATATGTACGTATCATGAAAATATATCCTATGGAAGTGCGAATGCAGTTCTGGTTTTAAAAAATATTTAAATTATAAAATTCATTATTAATAACAAATTAAAATTACTAATAACAAATTGTTCACAAAGTAAATTTATAATAAAAGTGAAAAAATTAATAAATTATTGATTATTACTAGAACTTAAAAAGTACTTATGTTAAAATGTACATACAATTAGCAAAAAGTAGATAAATTACTACATTTATTGTTAATAACAAATATTTTGCAACGTACATTAACGATAAATGTAA